GAGGAGGAGGAGGAGAGGGAAGATGGAGGAAGTAGAGACTGTAGAAGAAGACAGAGACGAGGTTACGATGAAACATGATGCTGGAGATTTCGAGGGGAAGGAGGGAAGCAATGGATGTAGCGCATGCTAGGAGGACAGCGATCGTGGGAGAGGCAGATGGTGGGATGTGCTAGCATGTTTGAATTTGTCTTCATAATCATGTGATAGTAGAGAACAGAATCGCAACGAGAACAGTCCCACCTTTTATGACGTGCATGGACAGATGGGATGGAAGCGGATTTCGAGAGCTGGAGGTTTTGCTCTCAAAGCTTTGCTCCTGCTCTCCCTCGTCGACTTCTTCGGAATGCAGTGCATCGGAGAGCAGATTGCAGATGAGGATCCCGTTCCCCTCTCAGAGCTGGTCAGCGCTCAAGCCTCCAAATGCAAGCATCAGTCTTGCAAGCGAAGTATCATCCTTGGGTTTGCTAACAAGGGATACAGCAAGTTTGCCTTCAACTGGGTCTTGAGCCTGCGCCATGCTGAGGTAGAGAACTTCCTCCTAGTGGCATTGGACGAGGAAGCACACCTTCACTTCACGAGGCACCATGTCACCTCCTACTACAACGCCTCGATGGGTACGACAGACGCCAAGTCGCAGCATCACGGGTCGAAGACGTTTCGAAACATCATGGAGATCAGGTTGCGCTATGTTGTGGAGCTGCTTGAACAAGACTTCGACGTCTGGCTGACAGACGTCGACTCTGTCTTCAACACCGACCCCTTCGTCTTCCTCGATGCTGACAGCGCTGCTGAGCTGGCCTACGACACGCCGTTCCTGCCCAAAGGGAAGGACAGTCCGCTAATGGTAATGGCTGGTTTCTTCTACATGAGGAGGTGAGGAGGAGAGGAGGAGGAGAGCGAGGGACGTGACAGAGGAGGAGCAGGTGCAGCAAGTTCCCTGAGAACTGCGCGCTACTGAAAGAGACGATCAAGTACATCGACGATCATCCCGAGAAGCATGATCAGTTTGCCTTCAATGCCGTGCTGTCGAGGAAAGAGGCCGAGGGGTACAAGTACAAACTGATGGATCCTCTGCTGTTCTGCAATGGCGCCTTGTACTTTTCTGAGAGAGCTCCTCAGGTGAGAAGGGGAGGATCAGGATGGTTTGCCTGATACGAGTGTCAGATGTTGGGGATGAAATCTGCTGTCGTGCAGAACAACCACATCACGGGGTGTGTGTGATGACTTGGAAGTTGTAGGTGTGAAGAAGTTCCTGATGATTGCCTTGTTCAGTGTGTTGAGCAAGAGACATAGATTCAGAGAGCACCTCTTGTGGTGAAGATACAACTTCCCTTGACACTCATCGTGTGTTGATACGATGATTCAGGTACCTTGACCCTCCGTCTTACTATCAGAACGAGACTGCAAAATACCTTCTTTTTGATAACGTCCAGGTAACATGTCTTTGTTGATGTGTTGGTTGTCTGACCTGCTTGTTTCCTTCAGGATCCCCTCTTGGGGATCGTACATGAGATGGCGTCTTTGAAATCAGCGATGTTGATGGGAAGGATGCTGAATAGAATCGTTATTCTCCCGCTGTTCTGCTTGTACAACAAAGTCGATGGAGTTTATTCGGGATCATCGGATTGGTGAGAAGCAATGAGGTTTGATGAAATATTAACTCCTCTTCCTCTTCCTCTTCCTCTTCCTCTTCCTCTTCCTCTTCCTCTTCCTCTCCTCTTCCCTCCAATCTCCTCCCCTCCCCTCCCGTTCTCTCTCCTCTACCTGCGATCAGGTGTACTGTCGAGGAGTTCATCGAGCTGGACCCTCAGGTCTTCCCCGTGCGAGAACACAGTTTCCTTCTCAACCCGCAGACTCCCCGAGGTCTCGACGAGACTGTGACGAGCGTTGGAGCTGACCAGGACGAGCAGAGGTGGCGGACGCATCGAAGAAGCAAAGATGAAGATCAACGTAAAGGCTGACAAGTATGACCACGAGGACGAAGGAGATCTGATCTTCACTTCAAAACACGACGACGGTGTAAAGTTTGTCTCTCATGGTGGTGGAGGTGACGGCAGCGCAGGAGCGTCGGAAGAGGAGATCAGGAGGTGGTTCGGGAAAGGGAGTCGACACGAAGAGGAGAGGTGAGATGGAGCTCTTGCGATAGTCGTTGATGGGACGCAGGGTGTTGTCGTTGGAGAGCTTGCTCGGGCGAGTGCAGGTAGGAGAGGAGGAGGACTGAACGGATGGTGAAACTTGTGAAGGGGTTCGGGAGCGAGGAGGAGAGGGAGAAGTTCGAGGAGGACTGGGCGAGGGGAGTGAGGGAGAGAGAAGAAATCCGAAGGCACATCAACCACACCATTTCTCAGCTCTCTCGTCCCTTCACATGCCTGATAGCATGGGGACGAAAATTTGATGGGGAGATGACGCCGGTGACTTGACGTGGTTGACCTTGTTGCCCTTGACTTCGCTGGACAGGAAGAGATGGGGAGATTGATGGAGAAGATGATGACAAAGATCAAACCTGATGAAGTCATACCATCCCATCCCTTCCTCTCCTCTTCTCCTCCTCCCCTCTGCTCTGCTCTGCTCTGCTCTTCCCACCCCTGCACCCCCCACATTCTCTCCCCTCCCTTCCCTTCCTCCCCTCCCCTTCTCTCCTTTCTTCTCGCCTTACCTTCCTTCTCTCTCCCTCACATCTCATTCCACCCCTGCCATCATTCTTTCCTTCCCGTCCTCCCTCTTTTCTCTTGCCCTCTCCTCTCTCTTCTCTCTTCTCTCTTCTCTCTTCTCTCTTCTCTCCTCTCACTTCTCATCACCTCAGAGTCTTTACCTCGCCGTCGATGGTCTCAAATCTGCTCACCTCGAGGCCTTTCGCGTCATCTGGCCTGACGTCACAGCCTTTGAGTTGTTTCCTTGGATGAACCAGGTCCTCCTCCTCCTCCTATACCTCCGTATATATATATATATATGTATATATGCATATATAGATATATATATATATA